GCTCGAGAATGTGAGGCACACTCTGTTTAAAGTGATCCAATTTGTCTAAGCTTTCAAAGGACATAGTTTTAATCGACAGGATAACCTAAACTTATTTGAAACAGCCTACTAACGTCTTGTCTTATTATCTAAGATCTACCTGTTCACTTGTCCATTGCATCATTTCAAATTGCATAAGATGTGTATTAAAGGTGCATGAAAGTTTTTGTCACGAACAGCACATGAAAACTCATAGGTGTACTAACCTCAGAGATTTAGTAAGTACAAGAAAGAAAACTTGTTGATAAATTACCAATGAAATTGAAAATATACTTTCATGAAAAAGATATTCAAAATTGTGTGATCATTGCAAAGAGAATATCATGAATTGTGCTTGTAAACGAGCATTTTCTTATTGGACAATCCAACCCTTGTAATAAGTTCATTAGAATTAAAGCAGAAAAGAAAGATTAACATAATGGCGAAAGTTTAAAACAAATCGGTCCAATGATAAGAAAGTTATGGATGTTTGAAATATGAGATCACTAATTATATGCGAATCTCAAATTGGCAGTTTGGTCAGTGGATTGTGACGTAGTCGCGGGTAACTCTGCCGTTTGTCATGTGCAAAAATATCATTAATTGCTGTTTTTCTCCTAAAGGCCTTCAGTCTTGGGGCACTTTTAAAAAATATCGATGGATTGCATAGTATTAAAGCAGAAAAGAAAGATTAACATAATATTTCTGCTTTCCTCTAGAGTGGTTTGTTATCAAAGGGATTTCCCTTTAGGTCCGACATTTTCAACCTTTCTTTTTAAAATCACAAAATCGATGTGAATATGTTAGCAAATGTTTTGAGACTCAAATAACAGTGCATGAGGGCTTTTGAACTTCAACTGAACTTAAATTTTATTAACCAATAATAAACACATAACAGCATGTATAAACAGTTTTATACATTAACATAAAAGGATAAAATTAACCAGAAAACAGCATGAATACAAATCGAGCCTGGTACCTTCGAATTTATGAAAAACACTGCTTGGGTACACATGATGAACAAATAAATTTTAAATATAACACGTAGACAAGCTAATTAGAAACAAAAGTGTAATACAAATGGATGAAAAGTCAAATATCAAATACCTATAGTTTATTACATTATACTCATTCCAAGCGGACATTCACAGAAAATCACAAATATGTCAAATAATGGATCACTAGAAACTGGTAAGTTAACAGATGGCCATCGTACAAGTTTTAGGTCAACTACATATCGGGTGATATATACAAATACAAATTTAACCACCTCCATAGCATCTGGGATATACGAGAGATTCGCCAGCAAAATAACGGTGTTTTAATATAATGCACCAATACTGCCAAAGCAGACGACATCCCATAAAGAATGAACATAATTTCAATGCTATTATTTCTCAAATTATAATGAATTTAGTGTATATAAATGTGAAGGCATCCACACCATTCAAAAGGGAATGTGAAACCTATTCCGATAACTAAAATCTTTTGTTTAAAAAAAATATTTAAAAAAATTTAAAAAAAACATAGGATAGGGGTTAATCGACAATCAAGAAACCAGACTTTCAAATTAAAAAAACCCCGATAGCATAGACGGCATTTGTTCCCTCTTGAAACGCTGAACATATTACAATGCAAAATACAATGTCGTCTTACTTTGTTTACAAGCGACAGATTCCTTTATTTTGTTATCGCTGCATTTTTTATTAAAATAATACCATGTGCTGGTGCAAGTTGCTCTATAGGGGGATTTTGACCTTCATTAAGTGTGCTTCATCCCGAACTTGTCAGAAAATTATTTTTACAAATAGTTTTAAAATGGCAGTTGCTCCAGTTATGCGTAAACGCAGAGTTATTAATAAGGTATCGTTAAACAGGATACTAGTTATTCTTTGAAATTAAATATATGTTTAGGTCACACAGCTTATAGGTCTTAGATGGGAATCTACCAAAGTTCCTCATAATTTTTTATACGCACTGTATAATGTGGAGTTAATGAGAGGCTTAATGGAGTCGATAGCTTAAATGAAAAAGATTGTATCTGATTGATTTTCTTCTTTTGAATGAGTTTGACATCATATAAATCAATATTATCATATTTCTAAGTCATTCATAGTTCTGTATAATCGTTTGGTACTAATAGGCTGGTGCATTGCTAGAGCGAAAATACTCCATGGTAGATCTACAAAATGGCGAATATACAGTGCGTCCCAGAAAAAACGAAACCGAGAATTACCGATGTTTTATCATAACTTAACCACAATTATAATTGATAAATGACATATATATGGAAAGCTTCGATCCTCTTCTTTCATTTGACAAAAGACTTCTTGCATGGCGGATTGTCAACGAAACGGAGTTAAGTCGGTTGTCAATTCTGCTTGTTTCTACGGCAGGCAGCAAGTGAAAACGAATTCGTTTGATAGAATTATTGAAATGCAAGCACTACAAACAGAACTTTGTCATTTCTTGCTCATTCTTCCCGATTGAGGTGTCATATGAAAGGGCAGAAACTCAACTTTCTAGAAATAAGATTTTCTCTTTGAAATTTAGATACCGTCCGCCAAATGACTTTTTGGTTTCCTCTCTTCCAATTAATTTTAATTTTAATTATTGAAATGCAAGCACTACAAACAGAACTTTGTCATTTCTTGCTCATTTTTCCCGATTGAGGTGTCATATGAAAGGGCAGAAACTCAACTTTCTAGAAATAAGATTTTCTCTTTGAAATTTAGATACCGTCCGCCAAATGACTTTTTGGTTTCCTCTCTTCCAATTAATTTTAATTTTAATTATTGAAATGCAAGCGCTACAAACAGAACTTTGTCATTTCTTGCTCATTTTTCCCGATTGAGGTGTCATATGAAAGGGCAGAAACTCAACTTTCTAGAAATAAGATTTTCTCTTTGAAATTTAGATACCGTCCGCCAAATGACTTTTTGGTTTCCTCTCTTCAAATTAATTTTAATCACTCATGCGTGAAATATGCATCATATGAGTTGCATTAAATGAAAGAAGAGGATCTAAGCTTTCCAAATATGTGTTATTTATTAATTATAAAAGAGACTCAGTTATGATAAAACAGCGATAATTCTTGGTTTCGTTTTTCTGAGACGCACTGTATAATTACGAAAATTATGAGTAAATACACATAGGGCTGCTACATAATTATAACTCCCACGTTCCATTGCATTGCAAGCAGCGCAAGTTGAGCGATGCGGATGACGTTCATTACGTCATAGTTCATGTTTATTCATGACCGCCAGGCCTCGAATCTTTTTTCCCCAAACAGGTTTACCTATTGCCGTAAAATCCTGCCTCCTGATTAGTTCAGAGGTAAACGCATCATGAATATTCATGAGCTGAGCTCACAGAACTGTGGCTGAGCTGCAAATGCCTAGCATATGTATTACGCATGCGCGTGGAATTCAGTTTCACTGGCCATTTAGGGTGTACAAACTGTATGTGAGCTGTGGTGTGAGGGGATTTTTATTGGGGGAGGCTGGGGGATGTCTGTGTGTTTGTGAATATTCCTGGTTGTTCTGGTGCATGTTTGGTTTGTATAGTTTTCCACATCTAGTTTTTACACGGCGGATTTTTTGCCAAAGAGTTCATTTACAGTACACACACTAATATTTCAAATTTCACACATAGGCTATACATACAAACACTCTCTCTCTCTCTCTCTTTCTCTCTTTCTCTCTCTCTATCTCCCCTCCCCTCTCTCTCCCTCTCTCTTTTAACACATACCCACCCACCCTCATGTATTTACAAACACATAAGCAACAAATGCACACACTAGCTGTCAATAATACACAATAGACACACACAATGGGTATGAATCTTATCAGGATGGTCCTTGAAAACATGAAATGGTTGCAGTGGCGTACGCAGGATTTTTTCAAGGTTTTTTTTTGTTTAATCGGGCCAACTTTTTTGCAACGACTCAGCCACACGCTGAATAACCGGGGGGGGGGGGGGGGGTAAGAGGACATTTTTTTTTGGGGGGGGGCCGAAATTTGAAATTCTTACCCATCGGCATACCGTTCAATCGACGGGGGGGGGTAAGGTCATCTTTTGTTAGGTCCTCTATAATGATTTTTGTTATTATTATTTTTTTTTTATATATATTTTTAAAAAAATACAAAAAAAAACTCAAAAGGTTTTTTTTTTCCCAAAAAAAAAATCATACACAAAACATACACATAAAAAACTCAAGGGGGGTTAACCCCCACCCCCCCCCCCTCCTGCGTACGCACCTGGATGGTTAGGTGTGGGTCAAAGCTACTGTGTTCCTCTGGACATGATATCCTGACATATTAGTGATTCTGGTTCCTTTGTGACAGAAGAACCTGGCCAGAGAAAACAAAGGACAAAAAGTAATACATACAGGCTCTACACAAGTCATGTCAAAGACAAGCTTTTATTATAAATATGCATACCTAGTGCACATTATACTGATTTATCTGACTAAGTACTTTTGCAATATTTTATATATCTTCAAACTTCTTTTCTCAAGATCATCCAACTAATTTGAGCTTTCAACAATAAATACAATCAGCAGGTTCATAACCTTTGACCTACTTTCATGAATTTAAGCATTAAAATATCCCAATTTTAATTAAAATTAATTAACTCTCACTATTTATTCTCAGATTCAGACGCCGCCATAATTGCTCATGTAAAAGTTACATCTTTGAACCAATCAATGCGCATGTATGCATGCATGCATGAGTACGTACGTACGTACACAGCTAGCTAGCATATAGCTGCATGCTATGAGCAGCTAATTCGACTTGTGTCACGCGCATGCGTAATACTACTAGTATCTTTGCAGCTCAGTCATGAATATTCATGATGCGTATACCTCTGAACCAATCAGGAGCCGGGATTTTACGCTCATAGGTAATTTCGCGGCCCGGCCTGGCATCTTCATACGCTACTATTGGAAAGCCATAAAACCACCAGTATCCTCATCTTGGAGTCAAAGCTGTTGATACGGGCAGACCAGAACGTCATACACTGAGCAGCACACAGGGTGGCCGTTTGCAAGACTCTCTAAGACTCTCTACAAATACAGTAAACCATTGGTAAGTTACGTTTAGTGGACGCAGTGATGCCAATTCATTTTCAACAACTGTTCTAAAGTTTTTGATCACGCTGGTTAGCGCGGAGTCAATAATTTAATGACTCTTTAATTTTGCATACGTTCGAGAATATTTACCTCAATACGTACGTGACCCCTTTTTTAATTTCACAAGTACAAAATGGGATCAATATAAATTAAAGGTCTAACCCTTTTTTTTGCTTATTAGTACACATTCAAAAAGATTGCCATGTTTTATTCGCAACATACACACACAACAAAACAAAAAGATACATACGCATTCACATGTCGATCTGCGAAGTTTGCGAACATCGATACTGAGAATATGTCGCTTTTCCTCAAATTAATTGATCTTTACAAAGAAATACCTGTTTTCGAATTCGTGAACATTGAGCGCATTGAATAAGATTTTTATTAGATTTTGTGCTATCTAAGAAGCACCTAATTTTCGACCGAGGTGCCGCGAGAGAATTTGAGTAATATTTTTTAAAAATCATTAATTGGGAATAACGTCGATTTATTAGAAACCGTTAGAGTATGTAATTTCATGAGGTAATAGCATTTTGAAGGTGATAGAGTGTCTTTGTTCCTCGCTCGCTTCGCTGCTCACAACCTTTAAAAACAGGATAATTTCTGGCAGCGAAGTGCCTGAATACCTTCATCGTTGAGCAATGAAGTGCCCATTAAATAGCCTTTTATTTAATAGAGAGTTGCCTGAATATATATTACATCCTTTATATCAAATTACATTTTGACCACGCTCGTTTGCTTCACTCGCTCGCAACATTTAGAAAGATGATAATTATTCTGACCAATGAGAAGCCCGAATCTCTTCATGTTCGTGCATCGAATTGACCGCATCAAATGATTTTGGCATTCATGTTTTCTGCAGCGAGATGCTCGCGCTCTTAATTTTATATTGTATCATGTGTGTTAATCATAAGGTAAATTTTGTTATCATAACAAAATTATCATAATTTTTTGCTCGCTTGCTCCGGTCGCTCGCAAAACTTAGAAGAAAAAAATTGCCATAGTGTAGATGGTACTTGACGCGTGTTAGAGTGATCCTAACTGAATCTTCTGTAAATTATTTAGGATTGGGGTGACGCAAACTGTTTCATTTTTTTGAAAAAGTGCCATGCGGATTATGTTTTACCATCTGATTTAGACAGTAATAAATTGAACGATTATTTTGTAAATATTGGTAAAAAAAAATCAGAAGCTTTCAGTAATCATGATCTATCATGGAACCATCCTGAAAGTATACATACTTCGTCTTGAAATCAATCAGTCCTGGGAAAACTAAACATAATCTCTCTCTATTGTCGAGAGAGAGTAGCCTTGATATCATAGAATTTGATAGAAAATTACTTCAAATTTCAGCTCCTTATATTAATATTTCTCTTAACTGTCCTTTTAATGAAAGTTTAAATTGTGGATTTTTACCTAATGATTGGAAACTGGCCAGAACTACGCCTGTTTAGAAAGGTAAAGGTGATAAGAATAATATTTCAAATCATAGACCCATCTCAGTCGTATGTCATATTGCTAAACTGCTTGAAAAGGAAGTTCAGTTTCAATTCTTATCTTACTTGCAGACTAATCATCTTATTAGTGTTGACCAATATATTTTTTGCCAAATCATTCAACTAATACATGTTTACATAGAGTCATTGATGATTGGTACGAATCTTTTAATGATAAGGAAAAAGTTGGTGCACGTTTTCTTAATATTTCAAAAAAATTTGATTGTATTGACCATGAACTTTTGTTGTCCAAATTGAATAAGTATGGTATTTTAAACACTGAACTGAAATGGTTTTCTAGTTCAAGTTAAAGTTCAAGTTCATTTTATTTCCATTTTTCGTATAAAAATACATATAACAATACATTATACATATAAGCAAATATATAAATATAAATAATACAAAGAATATGGAGGAGCCAGCAGAGTCCATTGGCCTTTCAAAAGCTGGGCTCCAGTGTCGTCAGATAATAATACAAAGTACAGAGAAAAGAAAATGGGTAGTAAATAAATAAACAAATGAGTATAGGCTAATTAAATTAAACATACTATAGGAATTCCTTCATTAAATAGTTCTTGTATTTACGTTTAAATGAGGCAACAGATGGGCACCCTTTTATATGGGTAGGTATTGCACTCCAACTAATTACTCCGGAATATTTATCTGATCTACGTGAAGTATGGTATTTTAACAATGGAATATATAAATCATTAGCATGTCTTGTGTAATGTGGATGAATATCCTTTGTTATTTTGAACATATTATCGAAAATAGAAGGTAACATATTCTTGTTGTACATATACATAAATGATCCAACTTGCAATTCATGTATTTGAAATATGGTAAGTACATTTAATTTCCTAAAAAGCGGTTAAGATGGGGTTCTGGGGTGAGAATTTGTAATTGCACGTAGTGCTCTTTTCTGTAAAACATAAACTTGATTCATTAAAGTTTTTGCACAATGTCCCCATATCAAAGTACAATAGGACAGATGAGGAAGCATGATTGCATTGTAGATATTAATCAAAATATATAGAGGAATAAAGTGTCGTATTTTATATAATACACCTATTGCACATGAAATCTTCCGCCGGGTATTATTGATATGTGAAGCCCAAGTAAGATTTTCATCAAGTGTCACTCCAAGAAATACAGTATTAGAAACTTGTAATATATTATAGATATTAATTTTAATGTCACAGATTTGACCTGAAAGTTTTTTGTTTTTCTGCTTGAATATCATATAATTAGTTTTTTTGGAATTTATAAGTAATTTGTTAGCCAAAAACCACAACTCAATTTTTGGTATTTCTGAAGTAATTATGGTTGATATTTCATTGATGTTTTTACGAGACACAAAGAGGTTTGTGTCATCTGCAAATATGATTGGGCAAAGGTTTGGGCTTACGTATTGAATGTCATTAACATATAATAGAAAAATTAATGGCCCTAAAATTGACCCTTGCGGAATACCTCCAGCGAGTGTCAATAATGTGGAGTTAACACCATCTATATAAACAAATTGCTTTCTGTTAAATAAATAGCTATGTATCAATTCTAAAGAAATTCCTCTAATACCATAAAAATTTCAACTTCCGTAACAAAATATCATGATTGATTAAGTCGAATGCCTTCGATAGGTCCAAAAATATTCCTAGTCCAATATTCTTATTTTCAAAAGCTGTATCAAGTTGATCGATATATTCAAGTTGGGCCATAGATGTAGAATGTCCAGAACGGAAACCAAATTGTCTATTGTATAAAATATTGTTTTTACATATGTAAGAAATAAGTTTTGCATATATCAATTTTTCAAAAAGTTTATCAAAGATCGAAAGCAGGGACACAGGTCGATAGTTTGTACACAAAGATTTATCTCCCTTTTTAAATATTGGCAAAACTTTAGCAACTTTTAAAGCATCTGGAAAGCATCCTGTTTCTATAGAGGTATTGAAAATATGATTTAACACTGGAGCAACAATGTGTATACATTGTTTTAAAACTTTGGTGTCTATATCAAAAGAAAAAGAAAATCAAACAGAAATAAATAAATCAAATCAAATTAAATCAAATAATCGTAACCTGGGCTTTTGCCTTCTTTTAAACTTAACACTGTATTGATTACCTCAGATTCCTTTGTACATGTGAAAAATAAGGAGTGTGGATAATCACCACAAAAATATTTAATAGGGTCTGTTAAAGTATTAGGCATATTGTTTGCAACATTCTCACCAACAGAAACAAAATATTCATTAAAAACTCGCAACACTTCTGAAGGTTCCTCAATATTTTGTCCATCTTTTAAAAGAGTTGGACAGTCAATTTTCTTTTGTTCTATTAAAATATTGTTTATAACACGCCATGTTCCTTTCAAATCATTTCTTTTACCATAACATTTCTTTTGATAATAGTCACGTTTTGCACTTCTAATCGCATTATTTACAATATTCCTTTGTTTCTTGTAAACATCTTTTCTGTAATGGGTGGGATTTTTTTATAAATTTGTGATACAAAGCATTTTTCTTACGACAAAGCTTTTTTAAAGAATGATCATACCATGTGTTACGTTTTTCTTTTCGATTATCTTTGGGTTGTTGTTTTAGAAAGCAATGATCATAAGTAGAGCCAACAACCTCAAAAAATGATTTGTATAACTGGTTAACATCAGTAGTTGAATTTTTCAAAATGAATTCCCAGTTCACCTTACTCAATTCAGTACAGAATAATATTATATTTTCTTCGTTAATATGCCTCACATTTCGAACAGACCTTACATTTTGGTTTGAATTCACAATTAGATTAGAAAAACAAAATATAGGCATGTGGTCACTTACAGGGTATGTAATAATTCCAGACAAATAATCATCACATGTGCTGTTAACAAAAATATTATCCAACAAAGTTGAGGTTTCTATAGTGATTCGAGTTGGCTTAGATATTACAGGAGAAAAAGAATAGGAATTCATAAAATTTACAAAATCATTAGGCTCCATCTCTTCTTCAACAAAATTATTTATATTGAAATCTCCCATTATATAGCAAGGTTTGTGATCACCAATAACTTTAAAGAGGATTGGTTCAAAAGATTCCTTGAATGCAAGAATTGTCTGACCTGGTGGTCTGTAAACTACGCCAACTATGACACTCTTCCTGTTGAAAAAAAAGCTCAACAAACATACTTTCTACTTCACTCACAAATAATTTTAAGTCTTCACGTATTTTATATTTCAATGATTCATTTACAAATATTCCAACTCCACCACCTGAGCGATCACTTCTACCTTGACTGACAAAATTATGTCCATCCAATTCGTGGATTGGCAGAAGTTTCTCATTTTCTTTTATCCATATTTCTGTAATTCCTATTACTGAAAAAGAAGGTTTTACATTTGATAGACATGCATGTAATTTATCAATATTTTTTTTTAACTTCTTACATTAGCATGAAATAATGAAAAAAAATGAAGACTTGCACTCAGGCAAATTTTTCAACTCATAATATTCTGATTTAGCAGTCATAAATGTGTCACTCATAAAAAAATATTATGAATATAGCAATATGTAATAATAAATACAAGTACATGTGATTCAAGTCACCTCTTTTCGTAAATATGCCTCAAACTATCTTCTAAAGGAAATAGAATTAAAAACAGTGAAAGTTACAACCTGTTAATCTGTGTTAAATCTATGTAAAAGATTAGATAAATATTTTGAACAGTTTTTAAAAATGACTACAACTGTACTTTCTTAATCTACATATAGTTACAACTGAGTTACTAAAGAAGAAAAAATGGGTAAGTGGAATGGCGAAAGCCATCTGGAACAGATAAGTTACAGTTATACTGTCATTGAACATACAACCTGTATAAAGCACATTTAAAGTCAGAATATAAAATACGAATACGAATATGTGGATCCCGAGGAATTTATCATACATATTAAAAACTTCATAAACACATGGAGTTTTATGGTTAATAATGTAGACATCGATGCATGCTAATACATATATACAGTGCACAGTGGAGTTCCTGCATAAAGAGGTAAATAAGAATGAGAATGAGAATGATCCTGACTGAAGAAGTCAACAGGCCAACATCACATTCATGCCGTAAGGCAATATGCACATTCCCAAGAATTTCATTACATTGAGTCGCCACCATATTTATAATCTCAGAAGATCAGCTTTGCTTCGTATCATCTGTTTAGTTGTATTACCATTTCGCTTGGATGACACTACAAATACTTTGCCATCAGAAGACCAAGCAGCTTGTACTTTCTGACATGAATTTGCTTCATGTAGCAGGTCAAAATTCCTAGGAGTAAGGTCCTCATAGATAGCAATCCTTGTTCCTTTCAGCGAAGTTCGATGTTTGAGGAGCATCTGCCTTATGCGATACGAGTACAATTTAGCAATGATGCCACGACTTCTTGTTTTGTCCTGGGGAAGCCTACCTACACGATGAGATCTGTCTATCTGCTCAAGACGCAGGTCCACATTCATTTTCTTTGCTACCGAGATAATAATATCATCTGTATTTTCATTCTTCTCTTCTTTGACTCCAAAAATACGAACACATGATCTTCTTGAGTACTGTTCTAACTCGTTGGTCTCATACTCCAAGCGAGAAATGCATTCTTCTTTTTTCTCAAGTTGTTTCTCTAGTGCCGTGATTTTCCGGATGTGTGAATCAGACATATTCTGAAGATCATGCCTGATTCCATCTTTTCTGTCATAGAAGATAGATTATTCCATTTACTATTCAACTCAGACTGCACCTCCAGGATCAACCTGTCAGACTGATTTGGCTTTGACTCGAAGTTAGTAAGACGAGTTTCATATTGGTTTAATCTATCTAAAATCTCTCCAAGTTTGTTTTGAACTCCTTCAGTAATGGCTTCTAAAAAATCCTCACTGTTCAAGATATCTTTTAAAATCTTAGGCACATTCTAGGAGGTCATGATGGTTGACAGCAACCAATCCAGAGAGAAATTATGTTTCACATTGCTCCGTTTAGTCTCATTTCACAAAGCCCCCTATCGTCAGAGCATGGTTAGAGTCAGCTGCCTAACATGTTAGCCTATGGACGTTTTTTTTTTTAAAGCGTTAAAAAATCATTTTTTGTTTAAACGAAAAGCACATCCACCCGACGTACGTTATCACTAGCTCTTTCATTGGAGCCCTCATGTCTCATTGACTATTGAAAGTTCACCCACCGTAATTTTTCAAAATAGGTTGCAAGCTCGTCATTGCCTATAATACACATGTGAAACAAGTCTAACTTTGTACTCAGTTTGCCAAGCGATTTGAAGATTATAGGTCGAGCACACGAAACATAAAAAGCATGAATTATCATAGATCACTTCTGCCTATTTCATTATGTCAATTTCATCCAACCCCCCACCGTAATTTTTCAATTTAGTAAAAGCAAACATTTAGCCGAGGTAAGCAAAAACATGAATATTCATGACACACCATGGACTATTCGGTTATTAACAGAGGGGTGCAATCGGTCATCACGTCAAACTCCCCTAATTGCCACCAAGTATTTCATATAATTATATAGTTTGGTATGTTTCTTTTACTCACTCATGAATTATTAAATATCAATGATGGTTTTAAAAATGTAAAAGAAATTTTAGTTGATATTTATTAACAAAGTAATTTATAATTAGCAAAGCAATCTCACATACAAAATTACTATCAAGTGTCGTCTGCTACGCCGATTGTTGCCTGCTAAGGCACATGTTTATTGTTTGGACTGTAAGGTATACCAGGGAAATTTGTATTTTCCTGCAGTACAACGTATAGCAGGAAAATGTTGTATATGCGGATCCTTTTAATGATTACGTAATGGAAGAAGTGGCGAGGCGGTATGGTTTGAATAACTTAGGCAGGTGAAAGTTATTGTATTGAGAAGGAAAGGAATGTTCAGAAAGGCATAGAGAGGGAAGTGGGCGTGGGAGCCATCTTAGCTTTGCAACTACATCAGTACGAGAATACACCCGACGGCGCGGTGGCCTGTACTTATAGCGCGCGAACACATCACACCCAATGGCATACACCCGTTACCCTGCAACACAGTGGAACATTCTAAAAAATTAAAAAATTATCTACAAAATAGACCTCTTGAATCATCTGAGAAGTAACTTACCCTATTCTGATTACTTCAATGAATGTCAAGATAACAATGGCTGCTTTTCCATCCAAAAATAAAACTAGTTTTCAATTAAAAATAGTCAATTTCTCGATAATTTCACAAAATATATTTGCCGCCGCATTTTAATATGACGTCATTGACAGCTGATTGGCTAGTTTGGTAGTGACGTCGAACGAGCTATGTTTGTGCTGCAGTGACAATCGGAGCAATATGGATAAGCAGACTAATCACAACGTGCTCCGCACAAACACAACTGTAGACCGGACCTACCCGAATTCACAAAGCAAGGTTTGAGCTCAGACCAAGGTTTGAGCTCGAACCTCCATTTGTTTCGCCAAACCTCCTTTTGTTATTTACAAACCTGGAATTCGGGCCTTGTCACCACCGCGCCGTACATGTACGCGATACCTATTCAAGATTTTAAGGCTACACGTATGTCAATACGTGGGACATCGTTCGTAGTAACTGTGTTGGACGAGGAAATCCAGAGTTAAATTTCACAAATTTCTTACCATATTCTGTTCCAGATCTGGCATTATGGCAATCTATAACTAACATGACAATGGCTGAGTGTAGCATGCATGAGTCTAAAATACGTCATAAAATGGAAGGATTGTGAAGTATTACGGATAAGGTCTATCGTCCAATACGCTGAATGTTGTTTTAACCAAGCCTAATCTTTAATGTTTTAAGAATTGTTTTATATACGCTGGTCGTAAAACCTGGATTAGTTTACCTTCTGCTTTTCAAAATGCTAAATATATCGATGTTTTTAAACGTATGTACAAGGACAATTTTTGTAAACCTGCGTGATACAATGCCGATTCATTTACTGCTTTGACATCATGATGGCTTATTTCTCTCTCTCTCTCTCTATCTCTCTCTCTCTTTGTCTCTCTCTCCATTTCCCTCTCCCCTCTTTCTTTCTTTCCCTTTTTCCTCCTTTACTTTTTTACCAGTTTACTTATATCTTTTCTCCTCTTCTATTTTTGGGGGGTAATATTTTAATGCCTTTTATTAAAGTGATTTGATGTTTTTTCCGCTGTTAATTTCAATTATTACATCGTCGTTTCTTTTTTTTTTTTTTGTGCTTTTAACTACTTTTAATGCGTATTATGCTTATATGTTAGTTTTATACTGTTCTTACCTTTGCTTGTGAGCTTTGGTGATATTCATTATATATATTTCCGTGTATTACATTTTTATCGTGTTCAGGACCATAATGTAAAACAGATTTTGTATCGACAATTTGTATCTCATTCTTGTTATCCTTAATAAATATATTTCAATAAAATAAAATAAAATAATACAAATTTTTTTTTTTTAAGTTGAAAAACGCTGCTTTAGCCTGTATATACATGTAGGCTTTTTAGTGTTTGCAAACCGCCCTAAATGTTACCACCGGGAGTGGCAATTTCTTGCATACAAATATTACAAAAAAGCAGGGGCGGATCTAGCTTTTTGCCAAGGGGGGGAAGGTTGACCCAATTACGATGCAGAGCATCTTTTACGAGCCGCAAAGCTGCGATCCGATTTTTGTAGCTTTTTTGAACACCCGTAAGTGATGTTTTCTTGGCATCAACGAGTCATCGTCCACCTTATTTGCTTAAAAAATAAGAATTAGTTCAATTTCCACCCTTAGCACGTTTGTTTAGTTATTAAAGTTGCTTTATCTACTTAAATTGTTTTTTTCGGAAATCTTTGCCATCGTGTTTGAGAAGATTTTTCAATATTTGTTTTCTTCACACAGAATCGTTAATCATGTTGGCAGTTTGTCTCCTCGCTTTCATCGCGATGTCGATTACCGCAGTCCCGGCCACGACCCCGACCACGACCCCACAGCCTCCTGATGGAATTCCCCAATGTGCAAGTGAGCCTTTCAATAGATATATTAATTTATTTGTATATATGTATTTGTGCATTTAGTAGACTATGTATGAAAGTATTTATTTATGTATTCATTTATTTATCTAGTTGTGCATTTATTGATTTATTGATCCATGTTTGTTTTTTGTTTTTCCATCTATTTACCTATCTATCAATTTATTTAATTATCTATCTGCAGTCTACGAGTGCCCCGTCTATACTACATTAGAAGAAATTGGTTCAGATATGTGGAAGAGACGGGTAGAACCAAGTGTATGGGTGCATAAGGTCGCTCCAACCTGCGACCGAACTGAAGCAATAGGTTTAGTCATAGGTGACCTCGATGCCTACCTTGTAGGTAAGCTTTGAGAATCAGACTTTTGTACATTTTGTTATAATTCCGAAGAAAGCATAGAACACTTATATTGAGATTGCCAAATTTAGAAGAAGGTTTATCCAACATTTGATTTTAGATGATAAAATTACTTTAAATAAGGTGAGCTTTTTTGTTTGGATTTTTATGGAAGTGAATGAATTCGATCTAATTTTATTATCTTATACGCCAAATACTACACGCTTTCTATCAAACGTAAGTCTAGCTTATCGTTGATCAATTATTTCAAAGCCATTTTAAGATATTATCGTTCATTACAATATTAAACCTATGTTTAAAACAATAAGTTTAAACGGGTATTTGATAATAAATGGACAACATTGGTTAGCTGCTGTAAAACAAAAACAAACAAATATTAAGTTTATGTGTACTAGCATAATGCATTCTACTCCTAAAAAGGACGTACCCTAATCGGATTTAACAAGTAATTAATAATCATAACCAGGCAATAAATTGATAAAATCAAAATTATCTTCTACATCATTTTTTGATGATTATTTCTTGATGAATTTCATCTTTTCGAATTATACATTTAGTATATATTTTTTTTTTTTGATTTCCTTCGTCTTGCTTTTCTTTACGTAAACTTTGGAAGAATATTGCCATAATTTATGTATTCGTATATTGTGTGTACAATGTACCTCTAATTATTAAGAATAATATATAGTAAGCATTATCCAAAATAGAAAATAGCAATCCAGTCGCCTATTTCCTTATCTATTTGAATATAAAAGCCTTTTTAAAGAGAAAGTAAGAGAAAATATATGGATGGGAGGAGGGGCGGGGAGGGGGGACATGCCGAGGGAAGAAAATGGAATGAGGACTTCTACATATATCTTACTATGCCTACTTTATCTTTTTTAAATAAAACAAACAAGAAAAATGACTCCCTCTCCTCCTTTAAAATATTGGCATAGATATCATTTTAAATCAGTCATTTGACATGGGATAAAAGTGAAGATGGCAGATTAGATTTTGAACTTCCGCTTCCTAAAATGAAACGGCAATTTACATTCCTTTTTGGCAATGTAATATTCCGTTTCTTTTTGTAATCTTGATGAATTGTTTCAAGCCAATGTGGGAGGGATGTATACTATGGCACTTGTAAAGATAAATATTGTATTAGGCCTGCTTCGTAATTTTATCAACATTTCTTTCATGTCGAATTGTTTTGCTAGACAACAACATAAATGAGTCAACACCAATCATTTTGAAAGTCGCGGAAAACATACCCGGGCCAAATTCTTCGTGTACCGGCCAATCAGGATCTTTCCCGTGCTGTGACCAAATCTACGAACTTTTCCACTTCATCCCTGTAGCTTCGCAAGAAACCGCCCCAATCCCATCACAGGTACAAAACTAAAAGCCCAGGTAGTGTATCCCTTTTTCAGCCAACATCAAATTATGTAGAACTTTGCAGGAATTATGAATATAATATACATAATAATACGTATATCCTATCGGTAATATTTAAACGTTAGCAGTGTCCTAGTATTCAAATTATGCAAGGAAACTCGTTTACTTTCTACACTTCACTGTCAGACACTAGTTGAGTGACTGACTGACTGACTTCTTTTTTTTTTCTGTGGTGATAACATACAGTAGCCTACATGAGCATTTGTCTACATCCATTACACACTTCTTGTAATAGCCAAAATTAAACTGATTGAATCTTTGCGCAGCACAAAACGTACGACCATTGGGTACAAGGGTCTGAAAATCAGACTATTTAATTAAACGAGTGCGCTCGCTTAATTCGATTCAACAGACATTTTCAAGTCCTTTTATTTTAAAGGTAAAGACCAGTATTGGAAACGCCCCAATGTCACAAAAAAAATTGCGCCGGCCGCCAAGGGATCATGGCAGGACGTACTAGTTCCCGACAGCATATAAAGCAGCCAGACCTCGAATATTAAAGCAGTCGATATATCTTTTATATACCGAAACATAAATATTGAAACAAAAATCTATCATAAATTCTTACCTTATCCATTTATTGAGTAGAGATTGGTTAAAACATCACTGAAATTCTGAGACACTGTCTGTAATCTTTGCTTTAAAAATGACTGAAATTACAATCATTGGGAATCGCAGACAAAAAGCACTGTATGGTGTCCGCGCTCGCACAAGGAACATTTTAACACGCAAATTAATGGGTATCGCAGCAAAATTTTGCTATTTTAATGGTAACCGGAGTTTTGAGGGATCTCACTCTTGGACTAAACCGGTATTGACATTTTTCACGTCTCCAATTCCGACCAATCAGACGGATGGATTTCTTATAGCTGTAATTGATATGGCACGTTCCGCCTGCCATCCCTGCCTGGTCCGCTATAGTTGCTGGCATCCTTACTTTCTAATTAAGCTATCCTTTATATCGGCAGTTTTGAGGATCTAAGGACTAGTTATTTCTTTCTTTCTCACTATCATCTTGTTGAAAGGCAGTGACGGCCCAAATGTTACTTAAATAATCTTGAATAAGGCTGAACCAATCGGGGGAACGTTTGAAACCCCCCTCCCCCCCCCCAAAAAAAAAGCTACAACTTCTGTTTGAAAACATGATAATCAACGGGAAATGTTTCAAATCTATTAATCTCTTTGAAAGATTGAAGTACAAAATGACTTGATCTTAAGTCATTTTGTTCAGTAGAATTAATCGATATCGTGGCTTTCATTTTTTCTAAAGGACTCTGGGATTCAGCTACTGCACTTCGATGCTTTTGAGCTCTACGGCATCACCTTTCTTGGGCCCAATCACAATGCGGTGGAGCAATACGAACAGCTTCGTGAATACCTCGACGAGCAGGGCATTTTATACTATGGAACCTTTTATTATATTGCAAGTGAGTAATTATGTAGTACATGTGGCAATCATCCACTGAGGAAATTTTTCCCGATAACCGTCCTCTCAGGACAACATTCACCAATACTATTATTATTTTCTTTATTGTTTGTTATTGTTGATGGTGATGGTGATGATGATTACTATTATTTATTTTAGTAGTAGTAGCATTTATTATTATTATTATTATTATTATTATTATTATTATTATTATTATTATTATTATTATTATTATTATTATTATTATTATTGTTATTATTATAATCATTATTATTATTACTGTCATTATTATTATTATTCTTATTATTATTATTATTATTATTAGTGTTATCATTATGATTAGTATCATTATTATTGTCATCGTCATCATCATCACATCATGGAGTTGTCGTGGTATAGTGGTTCATTCACTCAATTTATATCCAAGGGTTGAGGGTTCAAATCTCAGCGTGCCGGCACTAACGTCCTTTGGCCAGACACTAATCCACATGTGCTACTCTCCACCTCGGTGTGAATGTGTAGCTGACAAGAAGTCCCTCGGAGAGGACCTAAAGCCTTCGGTCCCCTCCTTGCTTCCTTCAAACATACACATGGCTTTTTAGCAGTCCGGTAAAACAAACAAACAAGCAAACAACAATAACAAATTGCAGGGCCATCAGGATGCACAAGCGTGAAGCTGATGAGGCTACGTATACCCTTAGTTAAGAAAAATTAAACGTACGGGTAATTTGATGTACTTATTTATTTATTGTATTTTTCTTACAGTTTATGACTTTCCATCGGACCCTCAGCCTCATCGTACTGAAATCCTGATTTCTATTTAGAAACCCAGAAGGAATGATAATAATGAAGGCACCGATAACCCAAACGACAGCCAAGAAAACCAATCATATCGCAGTGGGCGTGGTGGTCGTCAAAGACCACACTGATCTCATTCCGTTTTGAGCTGGTCGGCAAACGACTCCAACCAAGATTTTAATGATTTTATGCCATTTCATTTCATTTCTTTCATCACATATGATAAGATTAGCTAAAGAATACAAAATAAATACAACTGCGAAGCACTCGGTTTTTTTTTTCTTCACATTTCCAAGGTGTATAATCATAGTAGTTTTCTATCTTAATTTATTATGAGATAAAATACAGTGCTTTGCTTTTTAACTAGTTTTGAAATACATCATATTATAAAACATTTCCAAGGCGTATAATCATGAAGTAGTTTGCTATCTTAATTTATTATGAGATAAAAAACAGTGTTTTGCTTTTTAAGTAGTTTTCAAATACATCATATTATAAACCATTTCTAAGGCATATAATCATAAAGCAGTTTGCTATCTTTATCTATTATGATATAAAATACATTACTTTGCTTTTTAACTAGTGTTAAAAAAAAATCATATTATTAACCGTGTCAGACATCTGAGCAAGGCAATTTTCAAGTTTTTATTGATAAGCCAACAAAACTACGGGCGAAAGAAATATTATTAAATAATATTAAATAATAATACACAGTTAACCAATGAACAAATACTTTTGCCCGATCACAAAAGTCAACGGCAAAATGCGTGTTAAACTAGCGGGCAATAATGTAGAGCCAACATCCAGGTATTTGTAATTTTCATTGCGCATATATTAACTGCTTAATTCAGGGCAATACGGCTTCTCATATCCATACAGTTGTATATCACCCTCACCTTCGGTTCTGGCGATTATGTCGTATTGCCCTGAAGGCAGTCAATATTATTTAATTATTATCCCAGTAATATGACGTATCATAATCAGCATGATCAGGGAACCATATTTTCCGGCATTGTCCATTTCAGCCGTTTCGTGGTGTCCCATTACCATATACATGTAGTTTCGTTATACCCTGTAAATATATTCTTTTCAGAAATGGTAACAAATTCATTCATTCGTTCGTTTTTCCGAAAGTTAAATTTTCCAAATGCTCATGATAATCCGTAGGTTCATCATCATAATTATGGTTATTCCTAAACCCAAATTTCCCATACCAGGGGGTCATAATTCCGAAAAAATGAAATAGGGTTTCATACATTTTGTTGCGTTATTCCGAAGTTTCGTTTATTCCAAAAGTGAAATAGGGTTCATTATTCCGAATGTCTATACTTTCAAAAATGATAATATAAGTACTGTATATCTGTTTGAGATATAGTGTTTACGTGTAATATATAAACATGACGTAATCGTAATGTCGTTCTCTTTGATATAGTTTTTCTCGGATTGGTATTGGAATTTGTTTGGGCCTATTGATTAATAAATACTTCTACCCGCATATTTCTCTGCATTCAATTTCTTTACACCTCTCTGCGAAAATCACAGGTATTTATATTGGAGATAATGATGTAGATTATGTTAATGATGATGATGTTGATGATGATGATGATGTTGATATGATAATGATGATGGTGATGATGATGATGATGATGATGATGATGATGATGATGATGATATGATGATGATGATGTTGATGATGTTGATATGATAATGATGATGATGATGATGTTGATGATGAAAACGATAATGGTGGTATAATAGTAGTGGTGATAATGCTGATGATATATTATTGTGACGATGGTGATGATGATGAAAATAAGGAGGCGGGGGAAGGGTAGGACATAGGCGCCGGAAGTGGGCTGGCGGGGGGGGGGGGCACTTGCCCCCGCCTCTCCACCCCACACCCCGAACCAAAACAGTGGGGTTGGGGGGTAAGAAAAGCAGTAAAGGAGTAAAGATGGTTTGTATTTTTAAACCCAAAGAACATAACAATAATAAAACAAACCTGAATTAAATCACATATAAAATTCCATTCAAAGAAAAGTTAACAGGAATTAATTTTCCTAAACATTCCGCATGCCACCCATATCAATGGAGGTTTTCATATTAGGGATACGCGCATATCATGAGCCCCTGAACGCTGGCGTACTGATGGGGGGAGGGGGGGTACACAGTGGCGGATCCAGGGGTGGCCGAAACGGCCGCGGCCCCCCCTATTGGCGGCGCAAAAAAAAGAGAAAAAAAAGAAAGGAGAAGAGAAGAAAAAAAGGAGAAGAGAAAAGAAAAGAGAAGAGAAAAGAAAAGAGAAGAGAAAAGAAAGAAGAGAGAGAGAAAGAAAAAAGAAGAAGATACCCCCCCCCCCCCACCTCACTCCCACTCCGGGGTCGGAGGGACCGATTTTGTGTTCCCAAAATTTCCGATAAAGGGTTACTTTTCACGCAACAAAGTCCGGCCCGTAATACACACAAATCCGGCCCGCTCTGACTTTACACACCGAAGATAAAGGGGTGCTTTTAAACTAAGAGAGGGAACATACATGCGCGTACCCTAGATAACACTGAGTGGGTGGGGGGGAGGGGGAAGGTGGGAAGGGGAAGAAAAAAGTCGGGTGAGAAAGGGGGAAAGACAAGGAAATGGCGCTAAGTGACAGAAACGACGAATATTAGGGAAAAACTGTAATCGGGAGATTTGGGGTCATTCCAGAAGGCTTGGAAAACGTTATTGAATAGAGGGGGCCGGGCCGGCCGCATAAAATCTCGAGCCACGGATTCAAGTTAAACGTTACACACAGCCCCTGCTTTTTGAAAAAAATTAAAAAGGGCACAATATTTTGGATGTCTTTCAAATAGAAGCTATATACTAAACAGTCAAATTTTAAATTAACGGTAGGGCCGCTTCACAACTCTTATTTTGCCCTTCATTTGGATTCAGCTCATACCAACTCGCTTGTGCTTATATTTGAACTCATGTTGGTAGTGATAATGGACAGCGGCGGCGATCCTGGGCCCGATAGAGGGACACGTCCCCCCGGAAATTTAGATATTTAGCTAGAAAGAAATATACATGTAGCGGAAAGAACGTACATATTGGACTAAAGGATTTTCTAGAATGCATAATTTCAGCATTCTACATTGCAAAATCTCGCTTGGTCGCTACGCCCCGGCCCTCGCCCGATAACACAAAACTAAGATATGACGCTCCCGGTTGCGATTATTTCATGGTTGGTGTATAAATAGATCTTTTTTTTCCCCTTTCATTTCTACTGACCTTATTGTATGCTATCACAATCATGTTTGTTTCATTTTCCCTTTAAAGCATGCGTAGCTAGGGGCGGTAGGGGCAGTAAGAGGACATAGGACGAAAAAAAGGGGCAGACAAAGAAACATTTTTGACAAGTCTAAAACGGCACAACAAATCATCTTCTTTCTCTAATAATTTAATGAAACATTAAGCTTCTGCACTTTGCGCTGGAGGGGGAAACTGAATTCAGAGAAAGATTAAGAGTCGGGAATGGAACAACGAATTATTTTCTTTCTCTAATAATTTCATTAAACTATGAAAGGTCTAAGCTTCCGCGCCTCGCGCGGAAGGGGGAAAATGAATTCGAACAAGGATTAAGAATCGAGAATGGGACAACGAATCATCTTCTTTCTCTAATAATTTAATGAAGCGTCAGAAGCTTACGCGCTACGCGCGGGAGGAGGAAAACTGAATTCAGACAAGGATTTAGAGTCGAGAATGGAACAACGAATCATCTTCTTTCTCTAATAATCAGGGCTCAAATTAATTTTTTGTCCACGGGGGCTCTTCCCCCCCCCCCAAAAAAAGAGCCCCCTGAGCCTTCTCACGGGGGCTCTTTTAGTGCTGACGGGGGCTCTTATTTTAATACAAATTTACATTGAATTGGTAACCATGAAACTCCTGAATTCCTTGGTATTTAATCATTATCATTTATTTAAGTCGGCATTTTCCCTCTTAGAAATTTACTTGTTACATAGCTGTATACTTTATCCCCGTGATCAGTGGCGGATCCAGGGGGAAAAAAGAAAGGAAAAAAAAGGGGGGGAAAGATTTTTTTTTTTGTTGCTGTTGAAAAAAAAGTGTTCCCATCCCACTTGTATCACAGAGAAACAACAGTTTAAGTTAAGTCTAACGTTAACGTTAAATTTGTTATTAAAATGTAGAGTACAGCCCTTGGCCTTAGGCCTAATTTAGGTCGTAACTGTTACTGTTTGAAAATCTAAAGTAAAATTAGACGGTTTTCATGGTTATAGACCTAGTAAGTGAGAAGAAAAAAAGTTTACCCGTCACTGAGACCAGGTCAATCAATCTTTTAGATCCATTTTTAGGGTCTAACGTTAGTAGATATAATGTAGATACAGGCGCGGATCCAGCGGGGGTGAGCGGGCCTTGCCCCCCCCCCCCCCCCTTTCCGCAAAAGAGAGAGAGAGAGAGAGAGAGAGAGAGAGAGAAGGAAAAGAAGGGAAAGGGAAAGAGCAGAGAAAGGGAAAGAAAGAAGATGAAGAAGAAAAGAAAAGGGGGAAGAAGGAGATCGGGGGGGGGGGGAGTACGAAATGGTCTTGCCTCCTAGGCTGTTGCCTCCCCCCGCCCCCGCTAAAAAAAAAGAGAGAGAAGGAAGGGAAATGAAAAAAGGAGAGCTAAAAGGGACCAAAAAAGAGGAAGAAGAAAAAAAAGGGTGAAAAGAATTTCGATGCGGTGTTCGAGTAGAATTTTGTAAGATGATGATATACTTTCTCGTAGCTTGATGTGACGAGATGTCTCTATCCAGATATCTGTTGATAGTATTATAGAATATAGAAGCCTGAAATGACCTTCTGCTCGTAACCGACAAGTCACCGCATTAAAATTAAATTGCAAATAGTGTTCAACAACACGATGGTGAATGAAACTTTCTAATTTTCGAAGATATATGACCTTCAGACCATATTGTTTCATTATTTTTTATTCAATCAATCAACGTCAAAGAATTGATTTATCATCGCTCTTCAATTTATTATTTCACCTTTTAATGTACTTTCATTCTTATGAATCACGAAAGAACACTGAATTGCATTCTTCAATGTTTGTTTTGATTAATTTCCTCCCCTTTCCTTCTCCCTGTTTAATACTGATAAAATTTCAATTTTTCTTAATCAAGGCAAAATATTATTTTCATATTTTCTTTATGCAAGACAGGAAGAGAGAGAG